AAGGTCGAAACTCTGCTCAATATATTTCAATCCTTGATTAAAATAGCATCGTAAACTCCCAACTATTTCAACAATAACAACAAATGTGTGAAGTCTCAACTATTACAACAAAAAAATTATATTGTAGTGTTAACTATTATAATAACAACAAAATCATAACATTCCACTATTTCAACAACAAAAGAACTGTGAAGTCCAAACTATTACAAAAACAACAAAGTCATGAAATCCAAATTATTATATCAACAACAAAGCTGTGAAGCCCCAACTATTACAACAGTAACAAAACCACAAATTCGTAACTATTACAATAACAAAATTATGAAATCCCAACCACGACAAGAGAATAATCATCTAGTCCCGACTATTACAACAACAACAAAATCGTAAAATCCAAACCACTATAACAGCAACAAAACCATGAAGTCCCAATAATTATAACAACAAAGTCGAAAAGACCTAACAATTACAACAACAAAGTCGTAAAGTCCCCAACAATTAAAACAACAACAAAGTCATAAAGTCCCAACTATTACAGCAACAGAATCATAAAATCCCAACTATTACAACAACAAAGCCATATAATACAACAACAAAAAAGTCCTAACTACTACAACAACAAAACAATAAACTATTACAACAACACTAACCACGAAACCGTATAGACCCAACTATCACAACAACAAAGTTCCTAGTCATACATAAATTAAGACAAAATGTTCTAGTCCTACTTGGATTAAGATGAAAATAAAATGTTCATCCTTGATTCTGAATACAACTTTAGAAGGCTTCTAGAGTCATATAAGTTAAACTAATTATTTTCTTAGTGCAAGTCATATTATAAGAATTTGTCCAATAGAAAGATTTTTTTGGGATTCAGGGATCAACTTTCCACACACAACTCACTGTCCAATCTCAACTTATGTGACGGCAACCTTACTAAGTTCAAGTTTATTTAGGAATATGCGAGTAAAGGGATGAGATTTTATACATAAAGGTCTTGTAAGCTCCAAAGTTATCAATAAACTACTTTATAATTCCTCTTTTCTCCTCTATCTCTACTCTCCTCAATCTCTCTCAATTCTTTCTTAGAGATGGAGCTAGAAGTTATTATTAATTTGGTACCAAAGCTAGGAGTTTCCTATTACTTTAGTATCAAAGACCATGGTTCAGATTTCTATGTATAAATTTGTATTCAACCTTGTTTCTATAATGAACAAAAACAAATCCAATTGAGCTAGGACTTTGTACACCAAAAGAATATCAAGTTGTAGTTGTGCTAACCAAACTCAGCCCAGTCTAATGTTGTTTCACACTTGTGCTTGCCCACACAAGTAACAAACATCAGGCTGAAAATTCAACACAACATTATTTTTCATATTCAACTCGATTTCTCTTATGGATTATTTTATTTTCCTACAATGAGCACAAAAATCTTCTGCCATCACCATCGTAGATGCCATCTACCTCTTTGACCTTTTATAAAAAAAATACGACCATTTACTGTTACAATATTTTTAATGTACAAAATCCATCAGTTATTGATTCCTCTTTTTCCCTAATGCCTTTTTAAGGCATCCTAATATCCCAGTCATCCGAGCCTACATTGCTAGAGATAATACAATGCCTCAGTGCTTAGGGTTAAAGTCACAAAAATCAACACATCACCTATATCTACTGCTAGTCGGTTCCTAGCATGATGTTATTCCGTGTTACATATTTTTGTTGTTACGTCTTAGGTCATATGCAGGCCTTGCATGCATTTATATAACATATGTTGCCATAATAGTATGCACTTACAAACAACCATGCACATCAATGATGATGTCAAGAAGAGAAGATTTGTCAAGTGCAAGCAAGAAACAAGTGCATATGTAGTTCCTAAAACCGAAGAAAAAACCCAAAACAGCACAAAGTATGTTCACCTGCCATATTTAAGAAACTAAAATCTTTAGTTGTTAATATTGAACAGTCTGCCTAGCACCTAGGCCCTAGTACGAATTTACATTGCCTATGTGCTCAAGCCAACCAGCCACCAGCACCATGTCCCATGCCATGTCTTGATGCAGGCTTGTTAGGTCACATTTCCAATCATTGTGAAGCAAAGTTCATGCATGTTTATTTGTATCTTTGTACCACTCATGATGGCAGGACATGGAGTGCTCATTTCCAATAATCCATGGTCAGAGTATATACTTCTGTTGTAGAGTATGTTGCCAACCAATGCTCTATCCATGTGGATTGCAATTTGATTATATGAAAAAAGAATGCATGGATACCCACTCATCCAGAATAGGAACACTTATTTATTTGCTCGAGTAAACTTTCTGATGTATTCTCAGCTATTGTACTAATTATATTTAAAAGAAAGTCTATAATAGTATGCCGCCTAAAATGACTGATGAATAACAACATTCATGAAGGTTTCAGACTCTGTGTTTGTTCCTCAAGAAAATAAACTACCAAAGTGGTGTTATAGTCCATTTTGTACAAATTCACCAAATTGTAATCAATGAAGAAGAAGAAAATTAATATTTGAAGAAGAGCCATATGCTAAGTTGGTTACCTCAACATAGCAGATGCCTTGTGGTTCAGATGTTCCAATTAAAACAAGATCACAAGGTACTTCATCGTTCTCTCGTAGCCACACTATATTACCAACATGAATATCTTGTGCTTGAATCTAAAACATAAAAAAGAAAGTAATATAAAAATATATAAGGTTCAAGAAGAAGTTATTGTATGACATTGCAATTATTTACAAGAAATATTCCATTTCGGTGGACATATTGAATGCTTAGAATGTAAAAATGCTTCATATTTGTCTAGACTAGAGAATGAAACTCAAAGTTCAAACACTATACAAAGGTGTCATACGGATCCCTTTCATTCTAATAAATAATCTTGCACAAATACCATACAAAGATAATTGATTCAGCATGATGAAGCTGCCGTACTAATCAATAATAGAACAACAAAAATAAGAAAATCAAATCAATAAAATCCTATGAAAATATTTCTAAGTTTTGGCACTGGTTTTCACTAAGCATTGCAAAAATTAACTTTTTATACATTGTATGTATTTTCTACGAAGCAATAAACTATGTGGTTTGCCCATATTCTTGTGCTGGTCAAGCAACTCTCTTGATCAAAAGCTCTCTTGATCAAAAGCCTACTAAAGGTCATTATCACCTAGAACTAATAAGATATATAAGCATCCATAGTTATCATCTCCATTGAAAATAAGCAATGCGCTTAAATCCCAAGTCGTAAAGAGCCAAAATTAATCTGTTTAGGTTGAAAATAGAAGCCCACCCAATCCAACCACTAATAACTTTCAATCAAGGATTTAAGTTCCAACAACACTGAGAGCACCAGTCTCCAGCAGAAATTCTGTATCTTATACCATGCCAGCCAGCATTATTAGGATGAAGAAATATAAAAAAATAACTGAAATTAAATAAGTGCACATCCAAGCAAAATAATATTTAAATGAATGAACTTATGGATCAAGGGTCAGCATCAGTAAATCTCACACCAGGCTTTAAAACTTCAATTTCCAATTATAGATTTGCATTCCATAGTACACTGGTCCAAGCATGGACCAACCATTTTCAGAAAGTATATAACAGACGTTTTCAGATGCTGTTACACCCAAAAAATAGACCAAATCCTAACTAATTTCAACTAAAACCAGTAAGATCACCAATCATTACACACCCCACAACTCCAACACAATTCATTATTTCCTAGACCTCCAACACCTACACAATCCAATCAACTACCAGTAGTTGATGGTTACCCTCACGAAAAGTTTATCAATGTTTTGTGAATGGTATTGTTGCGTCAACTTTTGAGATGCTATGTTTATCTACCATAAAGCAAATATGCAATACAAAAATGGAATATGGCTCCATCATTGGAATTCGACCATTTATAAGAAAGAATATACCAGTCAAAAGATCTTCATAAGAAAGCTATTATATGGGAAAACAAAGCTACCTTTCGGAAATCAAAATACAAGGCAGTGTCCTTGAGCAAACAAAACACCAAAAATATACCATGTTCAGAACCTAACTTGCATATAAATATATAATACTACATATGTAAGATGCGGTAGGAGAGAGTATCATCATACAAACCTTTACCAGATATAATACAATGAGGGTACGGAAAATCCAAGAAATCATTGCATTTCAAAATGACATAATTGATTACTCAGTAAATAAGCTTTATGTCAAAGCAATCAAAAGGAACACCTGTAATTCTAGATACAATAGAGATCGATATTCGTAAAAATGAAAGTGGGGAAGATTGGAAGGAGCTATACATGTTTACGTATACCATCCTTTACAACCCATACTTCCTTCTCATTTGCTTGCTTGTCTGAAAGATAACGATTATAGTCATCCCATGCCTCTTTTGTTGCAGATACAGCAAAGATAATGATAAGTGGACCCCAAGTACTTGCAGGATTCACAGGAGTAATAAGTGACCATAGCTGGAGGCAGGCAATAAGCAGAAAGTATTGATTCATGAACCGCCTGAAAAACTAAATGATATAAGATTTAGGCATCCAGAGCACATCATCAGATATTTGAATGGTAATGGCATATTGAGTATGGCAAAAAAATCTGACTTCCTATTTTCCCAAATATAAGATAGTAAACCAAAAGTTCTAATACAACACTGTATTAGAAACTGTATAGTAACCTATAGGTCCTATACCACCCAGAATCACCATTAAAAACAATAAAAATTAAAACAGTTGGTACTGGTCCAACCGGTACTTGAATTTGATATAGATCGGTGCCTATTAGCCAGTCATTAAAGCTTTTTAAAACAAGCCAACAAACCAGCAACTGAAAAAGAAAAACCATTGGCTTCCCTTTATCAAAACAAGAGTGAATCTTTTTTTTTTTTTCAGACATTCTTAATTTCTTATGAAAGATGAATCATATTAACTATTCTAGAGAACATAGATCAAGAAGATTTCAGTTTGAGAAGCAAGTGTAAAAATTTCCTTCATAAGGGTAGCTGATAAAGAATAAAATCTTGCCTGGAAGAGTATAAAATAAGAACTCAAAGAAGAGAAACAATGGAAAGGTTTGAGAGGGAACCTGCAAAGCTTTTAGTGTAAAAAATTACCTCCAAGGGTATAAAATGATGAGGGTATAAAATGGTTATAGAAACTACAAAATGGCAGCAAAAAGAAAATTGATTCAGAAGAGAGTTCTTCCTGCAAAGCTACTATGTAGCTTCTATTGTTACCAGAGGGCTATATTATAAATTATGTAGCAGCTAAAAATTTTGTTAAAATAAAAGCAATTTTGAAGAAAGCACTAGTTATCATGGGAATGGCAGGAAAAAAAACAAAGTAGGCTAACTTTCTTTTGCATGCAAATGTTTACTACCATATGCCTTAGAAAAAGACTAGAGAGAAGCACGCACACACATCATAATTATAATGAAAGCATACAAGTAAAAGAGTAGCATATAGCAAAGAAGTGAAAATCAAACAAACATTCCACACCTGAATTGTTCCCATAAATTCTTAGGGAGAAAGTTCCATAACGTATACTTTCTGTTAGATATCCGGTTGTCACAGTATAGATCCTGGGAAGAATCATCATTGATGTAGACAAAGCGTTTCATCATAGGCGGAGAAGCATATGGTTATGATGCATCCAACAGGTTATTCCCGATGTAGGAGACAAACAAAAGGATATCCTGAAACACAAACATCACTGTAAGAATGGCATACATCAAAAACAGCACACAAAGAGAGTAAACAAAGAAAATATTCACATTATTTTCCACCAAGCAGTTCAACAGCGTACACATGCCAATAAAACTAGGGAAGACAGTAACATTAAAAATTTTATGAAATATACAGAAAAACTTTTGAGATGGCCCACATCACAATGAGGTCAAAGCCTGAACATCTGAAAGTGTCAATTCTTATACTTAAGGCATAGAAGAAAATAGCCTAAATTAACAGTGAAAATATAACCCTTTTTATCTACACAGTCCTGATTGATTAGAATTCAGTGACCGGAACTACATGGCATCAAAACTACAGTTGTGACAATGCAGTCTGGGTTATGAAGATTAGTAAGTCAATAAGCTGCACCATAGACAAGATTTAGAACTTGAATTTCCTAAAAGAGAGATCTTGCTTCTAAGAGTCTTAATTAAATTTGGAGGGGTCAGTCAAGCCTTGGGAATGTGGCTATATAAACGTGACTAGCTTTAAGTGCATTAAGTGAAATCAAGTAACATAATAGGACATCCCTCTTCTTTCCCCAGATGCTTTTTTTACTCTGCATTTCCTCTACTCTGTAATCTTACTTAAAATATGAATTATAATCTTATTCATAATTCTAAAAGTTTTAATAAAATTAAAAAGGGTCAATCGTATCTTAAAATAAGAGAAAATATGGCTATGAAAAAACTAGATTTAAGTCACCTGAGAAGTTGTGAATGGGGAATCAAGTTTCCATAAAAAGTTATCCTCTCTTCTATCGGCTAATGCGCCCTTTCTTTCATTTTCTTCCCTATCCTCTTTTTCTTATCAAGATGTATCCTCCTAACTCAGATTTTCTCTAATTTCCTACCAAGGATCTAAAGAAGAATGATAATTACTTTTTTACTAGAAAAAATAAGAAAATGGCACAAACATCTTTTGAACACTTACTTGATCTACATCCTGATTTACTCTAAAGTTGGTAAATACTAAGATTGACTTACAGTGCTACTAACAACTTGGGTCCAAGCATTTTGAACCAATGATTCAGACACAACAAACCTAGTGGGTCAGTTATCCCATTAGAATGAGCTTCTATAGTTACCAGACTCTTCTCCTGTATATCCTCCCCACTCTTCTCCTGCCATCTCTACTCCCCTCCCTTCTACTATTTTATTTTTTCCACTTGTCATGGCAAAACATATTAACTATCGAACACGGTAGGAAGCATGACTGCATGATGTTCAAGAATTTTCATACAAAATACTGAACAATATGAATCTTTTCTTCTTTCTCGTTTCTGTTTCTGAAAGGCAACTTACCTTTCCACTGCGACACTACCCTTGTATCATTTAGAATTTAAAACTAATTAATATGATGTAGAATAAGGTTCAAGCACTGCCTGCATCAGCAGAAGCATAGAAAATCCATCTACTGCACTCGTATCATTTATCATTAAAAAAGCATGTTAATTTGAGAGTAAGGTTCAAGTACTGTAATGCATGTTTATCTAGCAAACTTATTTGTAACGACTAGCAAATTTTTTGAGCTTATCAGGATTTCCTCCTAGTTTAAAACTCAAAAGCAAGCTTTCCGATTAAAGCCACTTAGTATATACGATAAACAAAAGTTATAAATCCCACTTCATAATTAAACAACACTCCAACACAATATGAATGCTCGTCAGGAGTCAATCATATTTGACCTTTATATCAAATTAGAAGATGACTTAAGTCTGTCTTACCTTTCCTAGTAACATCAAACACATTTGACAGGAATGATACCACCCTAGGAATTCACTTGAGCCAAAAATACAATAGTTAGGTCATAGAAGATATGGAACATAATTATAGATTCTTTTTCTTCTCATTGAAGTCATTCCTGCAGTTCAAGAATATTGAGGCTATTGAGTTTGTGCAATGATATCATTGTTCAATCTATGCTTTCCCCAAGGCAAGATTGATTATAAGAAATTTCGGCCCTGAGTTGCATCACCAGTCCAAGAAAATTCAAAAATTATACAGAGGTTATTATGTAGCAGGAAAACCTGACTGGCTATATGACAAGACAAGTACATTAAAGCCTATGACAGGCCAAGGTTAATTAACTTTGTCTCAGAAAGGCTAGGTTTTATCTCAGAACCCACACAGAACTCTTAATAAATTTCTATTGCAGCCATTCATATTCTTGAAGCCCCTTTCCTGGTCATCTAAATAACATGCGCTGACCGAACTTGCACACAAGAAACCAGAGGATTTAATTGGCCGCAACTTCATCTAACGTCTCCTGTATCAGATCTTTTACAGGTATTCCTTGATTCTTCCAACCAGTAACATCGCATCAACAAGCAACCTAGAATTCGCTATGGATATAACCAACGAATAGATATTTCTTTTCCTCTAAAAGTATATTAAGAAACAACGAAATTATTGACACCCCGACCACAGTTAAGAATGAGCAGTTCCCCGGGGAAAAGAATTCAAGAAAAGAAACCTAAGAAATCCTACGATCCGATCTATGACAATAGATATTTCTTTGTTTCGAAATCAAAACTACTCCTCTAAAATTCTATCAAGAACCTGTGGAAACCCCTTCCACATTCAAGAATGAGAGGCATCGAAGCATGAAGAAGATAATTCAAAACAATAAACCTGAAGAAACGAAACAAATGCGCAAAAGAGCGAGGCAGATGTCACGGAAAGAGGAGACCGAACCAAGGATGAGACCTCATCACCTGATTCGATTCGTGGACCGAAGATGAGACGCGGGCACCTGATTGTCGAACGATCTCCTCGCTCGTTGTCCTCACGATCTCCCCGGTGGCGATCGCGTCAAAGAAGAAGAAACCCTTCTCATCGCAGGAGGATCTGGGGATGGCCCTTCTAGGCGAAGGGAGATCTGATACCGTGGTTAGCTAGTCCTCTCGCCTTCCCCTCTTCTTTGACCAAGCCGGGCTTCGGGTGGGGCGGAACGGAGAGGAAAGCTGGGAGACGGGACTATATAGCTCGATCCTCTGTAACTCGTCAAACACGAGAACCCGGCACGCGCGGAGCACGTGACGTTAAGCTTTCTATGACGGTGAATTTTGAACTTTGCGAGCGTGTTCTTCAGATTCCCTGTATCGTCCGAGCCACCGAACAGGGCGAGAGTCGGCTTGGACCCATGCCGGGGAATGCCGGACCCCCACCATGTGGGACCCATGGGTATTTGATGACGTATGATATTAGGTGATTTTTATTCTTACATTCTATATGTTTTTCTATGTTTATTGTTATATTATATTTTGATTAGTATTCATTAAATTAATTTGATATTTGTGTCCATTAATTAGAAAAAATTAATTATGTTCCTCGAAGTAAGGTGGAGTTGGAATGGAATTATTTACGTGACATGTCCAAGTCGAGCACAGGTTGTCATTGCAGATAGAACAATGGTGAGCTGTGATGTCAGTTCCCAATCACATATCAAAAATGAGAGAATCATGTAAAGGCACTGTCTCTGATTGCTGGTCTTCGAGTGAGAATTGCCAACTCACTTGCATAAATTGAAAGGACAGAAAACATTATATACAAACTCAAAGAGACATTGCATAAATTGGTATATCCAATCAAGAACAATGTGTGCATTTAGGACAATACAAACACATCCAACCCTGGGAATCAGCAACAAGGGCCAAATTTTTTCTGCCAATTTTTTCTGCAACATTTGGTTGATATGTCGGTGTGGTTATTTCTCACAACTCAATGAGTATGATTGACAACAACAACATGATTCAAGCTACAAATATGATCTTTCTAGTTATAGGCAAAAGGAAATCAAATAAAGTTCAAAATTTCCAATCCAGAAGTTCCATAAATCCATACAAGTGTAGCTTCTTAGATAGGAATGTACAAAATAGAAACAACAAAGGTCGAGCACTTAGCAATATAACTTGTTCCGACTTTGTGTGTTCGTGAACAACAATGAATTACTATTTCGAACAAGAAAACATACAAGACACCATGAAATCGCCCACATATCAACCAAGAAATAAGCATCAGACAACATAAAACTTATCTGACTACAGATGATAGAAGGCCTATGTCAGTAGGTCACAGCTTTCGGCGGAGCGTATCCATTTCGATGTAATTTCTGCCATCTCCATGCAATTTTGAGACTCTCTAAAAGATGCGTGTGTTGTGCTGTCCAATTCAATTCACTATTGATTTTGGAGGGGTCGCTGTAAACTTCAGCGTAGTCGCCTGGTCGGCGGCCGTAGTACTCGACTTTGATGTCAACCCCAGTGGCTTTCTTGCATGCTTCAACAAACTCCTTCACAGATCTTCCTGATTGATGAGAAACCAAAATTAAGGTTAAATGAGTTAAACAATTAGCTATTTCTGCTAAACTATGCTATCAGGCTTCTTGGATTGACAAAAGAATGAGACTATCAGAGAAAAGGGAGGTTTCGAATCAGTGATGAAAGAATAATCGACAAAAAATTATTGACCTTTTCCTGTGCCGACATTGTATATGCCAACCTTGTCTGGTTCTGCCTTGTTAAGAGCTTTTACATGGGCATCAACCAAATCAGTAACATCAATATAGTCCCTCACGCACGTTCCATCAGGGGTTATATAGTCGTTTCCCTTGACCTACAAGAAGATTGATACATCATAATGATTTAAAATCATAATGCTATTCCTTGCCACTCAAATCGATTTTGCAGTAGTAATTTAGTTGCACAACATGTATGACTTACAAGACATCAAAGCTTACCTTCAGACCTGGAATAATTCCCAGAGCTGCATCAAAGCATGCACCAGATATACGCCCATGCTCACGCAGTTCAGGTCTGGGAGACTCTCCTAACCTTCCCTCAGGATCAGATCCAATAACATTGAAATATCTGTAAATAGGAAATTGGAGTTCCATCATGTGTTTGATTGAAGAGTAGACTCCTGTCCATAAGCACCAAACAGTTTCACTATAGAACGGGCGCAACAGACCTTAAAATCATGACAGCCATGCTTGATCTCTTGGAGAAATCCAAAATAATTTCCTCTGCCATTTTCTTTGCCTTCCCATATGGGTTAATAGGTACCTGTTCATATACCAAAAAGTTATTTAATCAACACAAACAGCTTCCTTCTTTCTTTCTCTTTTTCTTTGTTAAATATAGTCCAGAGATGCTACAGCAACATTTAGCCAACCAATTAGAAGATAAAGCAACTAAGATTGCATTTTATATGAGTTTCAATTGTGGAACGAAGAAAGAAAACATATCACAAGGCCGCTGAAACACTTCACGTACCTGAGGAGTTAATTCTGTAATAGGCATTTTCTTAGGCTCTCCATAAGTTGCACATGTGCTGGAGTATATGAGGGTCTTAACACCATGTGCTGCCATCGCCTCTAAGAGAACTAATGTATTTGAAGTAATATTGTGATAGTACCTGTGCGACATGAAACATATGCCACATGATAAACAGTATCATGAAAACTTCTCCTTGGAATGGATTCAAAACATAATAATGTATATCACAATATCAGCTCATGATTATAAATAAATTGAAATGATGGGCCCTCTGAGCTCAACAAGCTGATATATAGTGACAATTGCCGAACAAAACAATGATTACTTTATTTTGAAGATGGGGATACACAAAACATTTTAACATACTGCAACCAAGTAACGGCTCAAGGACTTCTAACCAGTAAACAATAAGTGTACCTTTGTGAGGTGACCTTCAACAAAAAATAATAGTTAAAGGAACATATTTCTTTTGTAACAAACAGTCAAAGATTATAGGGAAAAATCTCCTATCAACTATAAAATCTATAAATAGATCTAAAATATTAAGCATCTCTAATCATTGATCAAATATTTAAAACAATGAAATTAACCACATTTATAGAAACCTTGACATTATTAGCTCACTCTAATATTAAAGCCGTTTTAAAGTTTAGATGCAGGTGAATTATTCATACTTTCTATTTGAAAATTTGTCCAACTGAAACCACCAATACTTTACACATCAGTCAAACACCAAACATCAACATTTTAGGAGACCCAGCTAAGCAAAATTGATATTGACAAAGACTGCAGGCTCCATAATAAAGTACAAAAAGATGACAACAGTGTACCAATTGGTCCAAGAAACGTCTTCAAATTATCATGAGTAAGACTCAGACATAAACAACTGATCTCTAAGAGTACAAGGGAAGCAGACCTTAGAGGATCTAGGGTACTCTCGCCCACATAAGCAACAGCAGCAAAGTGCATAACCGCATCAAATGCATTTTTTGCAAATATTTGATTAACCTGAAAGTTGGTTAAGGAACATAACTTTGCAAACCAGTGGATAACCATAAATGGATAAACTGCTTCTATGACTAGAAGCACATAACTAGGATACAGTCCTTGCATCTCCTAAATCAGCATATATAAATTGAAGTCTTCCGGGCTCAGGAAACTGCTCCTGAAGGACCTTTATGGCTCCAATATTTCCTCTGGAAAGATTATCCTGTTTATTAAACAAGTGAGAAACCCTAAATAAAAAAAACGAAAAAAAAATAGGCATTCATATATCAATGACCAAGACTAAGAGAACATAAGTTTAAATACACAGGAATCAAAATATTACCACTATAGTTACTCGATAAGAGTCCTTCAACAGCCGAAGTGCAGCATGTGAGCCTATATAACCAGCACCTCCTGTTACTAAAACATGAGTCACTCCACGTTCATGAATGGAGAACTGAGAAGAAAGCACACCAAATCACGGTAATGTGAGGAAACAGAAATGAGACTTCTTTCAGTATCTATAAAATTACAAATTATGCTCATACTACTCATACTTGATTAAACAGTATCCAAGATTGTGGGCCAGCAATGGACAAAAAAGAGAGAATACTTTTTTCTCTTTACACAGGATACCAAATATTTTCAAGATAAAGTATACATAGACAAGTTCTAAGCAGAAAAACTCAGGTAAATTTTTATAAGCCATGATATAGAAACTGTTGCATGTTGCATTTTATCTTGCAACTTCAACTTATAACAAAAAACTGTGATGATAGTGAAACTAGAAAGGGTGAATCAAGTTAATGATTGAGTCATAAACAACGATGCAAACAATTTTGAAGACATAACATTGAAGATTGATCAATAACTGAATGCACAAAACACATAGCTGATACAGAATATAACATTCACAACTAACAGATACATGAGCAAACAGGAGACACACTATCCAGTTAGAAGAATGCAGCAAAGCAAGAGAGATTTTTTTGCATATCCCGATCAAATACAAGACAAGATACTCATTTAGTGTCTTTGTGTTAACTCAGAATCTATGCTGGAGTTGGAGACTGATCTTATGCTTATGATTCCATAAACAAAGACTAAATGACCAAACTAAGATATGCTTCCATAGACTTATATAAGGGTTACGTATACAAAAGAGTAGAGCATTTCAACCATTAGAATTCCCTTTTTTAGGCTTCCAAGACAGAATAAGTCATACTATGAAACTTTGGAAAAGATTTATCGAAAGTAGAATAAGGCATGAAACAAATATCTCTGAAAATCAATTTGGTTTTATGCCTGCAAGATCAACTATATAATTTTTTTATTTATTAAGACAATTAATGAAAAAGTATAGGGAGAAAAAAAAGTTTTGCATATAGTTTTCATTGACTCAGAGAAAGCCTATAATAAAGTTCCTAGAGATTTATTACGGTGGGTTTTAGGAAAAAAAAAAAGTGCATTCACTAATTATATAGATGTTATTAAAGATATATATGATAATATAGTTACCAGTGTTAGAACAATAAAGAGTGTGTCTAGTGAGTTTTCTATTAGCATAGGATCACCCCAACGATCCGCATTAAGTCCCTACATTTTTCATATTACTAATGGATGAACTTACTAATCACTTACATGATAAATCTCCCCGAAGTATGTTATTTGCTGATGCTATTGTCCTAGTTGATAAGAGCCTAAGTGAAATTAATTATAAAATTGAGGAAAGCAAGTATTAGAAACTCAAGGTCTTTAATTAAGTATGACTAAAACTGAATATATACAATACAATTTTAGTGATTTTAGAAATAGACAAAAGAATACAGTTAAATTAGATGAGCAAGAAGTCTCTTTAAATAAGAGTTTTAGATATGTTGGATCAATTATTTAACAAGATAGAGAGATCGATAAAGATATTATTCATAAAGTAAAAACATTATGATTAAAATGACGAGGGGCGTTAAGAATCTTGTGTGATCATCAAATACCTTTGAGATTAAAAGAAACATTTTATAAGATAGTTGTGAGACCAACAACGTTTTAAGGATCTAAGTGTTGGGTAGTTAAGAAAAAATATATACAAAAAGTTTATGTTGCCAAGATGAGAATATTAACACAAATGTGTGGAGCTACTAGGAAAGATAGGAAAAGATGTACTCTTATTCGTGAGAAATAAGGTATCATTTCGATAGAGGATAAGAGAAAGAGAGAATCGTTTAAGATAGTATGGGCATATGTTGAAGAGACCTCCGAATGCGGTAGTCAAAAGAAGTGAAATAATTAATGTTAGTGGTACAATAAAAGGTAAATAAAGACCCTAAAAAACCTTTAAAAAACTATAAATAATGATCTAAGTATTCTAAACTTAACTAAACATATGACTTTTTACATATCTCAAAGGCGGCAAAAGATATATGTAGCCAATCCCAAATAGTTGGGACTTATGGCTTTGCAGTTGTTGCTATAATTGTAGGTTTCTAAGACAGGAGGTTAATGATTGTAGAAATCTTTTGTACAGTGGTTATCATCATTTCTATGTGCTCTCAATCTAAGCATACCCTCTTCAACCATCATTACCCACGTTCTTAGGCCTTTTGCCTATACCACATAAAGCTACTATGTTCAACAATATCTCTTTTGGACTTTTCCTTCTTGTTCATCTCGTGCTCCATGTCCATAGATATGAATCTATTGTAACCCCTTGATCATGGAACAAACAACACAATTGGCGCAAAGTGTCTTAATAAAAAAAATCTAGTCACTCATAAAGGTAACTCAGTTTTGCTTCAATGCTAGCTGCAGCCAATCAATATGAGCTTGTTAAACCAAAGGACGCCAATTCAAACATAAAGAACACATTTAAAACTTACCATGTTAGGTTCATGGTGACAGGGTGTTTGCATGATCACGATTATGCACATGGTAGTGATAATAGTAGCCATAAAAACTTTATTGAGAACATGAGACTTCTGCTTTGTATCTGAATAATCCATTTCTGAGAGAAGATGGAAAAGGGTTAGAGCTTGATACATACAAGCATCTTCCTATTTGATGCATGCATGTGTAATAACAATCCAAAATATATTCATCTGCATTTGTTCAAAAACTGAATCTCAAACATGATGTATATGACCTAAATTGACCGATTTCCATATGAGTAAATTTTAGAGACACTTTTATTGGTGACTAATCTGTAGACGAACAAATTGCTCCAGTAAGGAAGAAAAGCAGCAGTATAAATGTGATCCTAAACTTCAGCCAATTTATCAACCATCACAATAAGTTATTCCACAAAACTATATAGCCTTCACTTTCAGGAACATCCGAGACAGACCTGAAAAGGACCAGGATCTACCAGCCCTGGGCTGAGCTCTTCTGTTGTTTGACAGCATCTTAGAAAAGCCGCTCGAACGAAGAGGAGAGATCTGAAAGCTTTTGTCTTGCAAAACTAATCAACCCTGCTTAACCTATCAAGCCCAGCATCTGCCATCAGAAGCTTCCTGTTCACTAGACATTAGCGCACATTAACTCAAATCAATCAAAACTAAAACCTACAAAAAAGACATCAGAGTGCTACGATCGAAGTTGTATAAAATGTCACAATTAGCATTAATCAATGTTAGGAAACCCTAAAATAGAACGGAGCAACTCAAATAATTCACGTCGTAGACGTCTTAGAGAATGAAAGCGATCTAGAAGCCCGATTCAACCACATCTGACAAAATAGAGTGATCTAATGCCAAAAGAAGAAATCGAAACTAGAGTCAAAATGTCACCTTTAATCGGTGAAAAAATTGCTGGAGTAAGAAAAGAATGGGGACAAACCCCAAAATAGCAGAACAGAGCTCCCGAACCCACAGATTTCGAACACCAAGGAACGCTACCAAAGCAAAACATCGACTTTTTACCACTGTGGTCCCGGCACCATGAATCGCCTTCAATTCCAGCCAAAAAAACCCGAAATTTCCGAAGAAAACCTCAAGAAACGAGTCTTAAGAAGGCGAAACCCACCTGGGATCAAGGGAAGAACAGACGAACGAGGAAGAGAGCAGCGAGGGAATAGCGGGGAGAAAGATGGGGAAAAGGCATCGAACCGAGGTTTGGCTCACATGTTCTTGAACTCGTCTAGGAATCAACACAGTCTTCTGTTTTCTTTTTGATCTTTTACGGTTCACTCCTCAGCGAAGAAACATTCTCTTCGTTTCCTTTCGGTAATAATCTCTGGGAATTACCGACGACGGAGGACTCGATGCTTGTGGCTTTTGCATGGAAGGAGGACAAGAAGCAGCAATAATTGATGGTGGCCAACACCAACAGCTCGTGCATTTCATGAATGCACACAACCAAGTGTTTTCGAAGAAATGAAAGTTGAATCCATTTGCCATCGTTTCATCAATTAATTATGTAAACAAACATAATAAACCTATTATGTATTGGAAAAATGGATTTCCAGTACGGACTCGAATAAACTCTCTCTCGAGAAGAATCACATCCATCTGAAAAGAAGGAATCATAAGAGAGACACACACAGCTCTATCTGTCCTTGCAAAGAAGGAATCGTACAAATGACTTGACATATAATATATTTCGAAACGAGTTAGGTGCGTAATAATTCTTCCCATCAAGGCGATACAACCACTCTTTTGGCCTCTCAGAGACGACGGCTGCAAAAACTAGTAGTACGACGACCTTCCACCGGATGACGCCGCCCCGCGGCATGGCTTACGGTGATGGATCGATCATGCTACGATGGTCGGAACATACGTTCCACCAGACGATAAAGGTCGTGCAACGTCGTACAAGAAGAAAAACGTGATGTTTTGATGCAAATGCACCGACGACGGTCGGTGGACGCAAATACTATGAGACGATGCTGCCAGTGGATGAATCAATGGTCGAACGGCAATGCAACAACAAACACACACCCACCCACCCGACAAGCATATAACTAATGGATTAACACAGATAACTCTGACCAAAATCTGAGAAAGAATTACACCTGGATATAAGATTGAGAAATCAGATGAAAAAGATGATGACTACCCTCGTTGCAACTTTGCTAAATCTGGGCAGCGGAAGAATCCTCAGATGGAAGCACCACTACAAATGAAAGGGCATCAAGATATAGGTTACATAATGAAAATGATTCGACAAAGAAATGCCACCAAGTCCCACAAAGTATACAAACTTTCTTTAATTGTAGCATAGTGAAAATAAGAACATGCCACTTTGCACACTAAAATAAAAAGGTTGAATTTGAGCATCCACATTAAAATTTGAAGTCTGAATCACAACCAAACAGGGGTGAATGCAGAACAGAAACAGTGTGATGACTTTGCCGATTCCAAGTGCATGTCATAATCACTCATCCTGGCTAGGATATGCCCCCTGACTAACCAATGCCTAAAAAGGGATTTTGCAAGCACAACACAAACCCTTCACTTAAAGAAAGTAAGTGCGCTGGTGACAGAAACTGCGTATCTTTTGTCCGAGATGTGTTCGTGTGGAGTTCAAAGACAGGGCACTAATATTAATTCCAGGCACAACTCCTGACTGATTTCGAAGCATATGTACAAGCAGGCAGTATTACATTCCAATACAGGGGCTAACACAACAACATAAAAAGAAAAGAAGCTATAATCTTACCATAATCCTACAAATCCCATGCTGCATCGTCTCGATATGCTACGAACAGGGCTCGGTTAATTGAAGAGCCACATATGTGAGAAAAGAAAACCATTCTAGCACACAATAAAAAGCCATCTAACTAACCCCTCCAGGTGCATCAACCAGGAACTGATTCAGAGGTTGCAGGACCACTGCTACTACCATGTGCGCGAAAACCAGTAATAGGCATCGACGTCTGAGCAAAATCAAGTAACACCTCACGCTGGTGCTCATTTGTATGAGGAAGGCTCGCTCGTAACAGATCAATAGGCATCTCCCTGCTTATAGCTCTGGATGCATCAGATCCAATAACTGTATCGTTTGGTGCCTGAATAAGTAACATTTGCAGAATACTGTCATATTTACTCCAGCAATATTTAGTAAGGAGCCCAAAGAAAGCATCAAATGATGCCTGCCACAGACTTCGGTTAGAGATGCTGCAACTGTTTGCAGAATGGGGGTCTGTCAGAAGATTGGTTGCCTGGTCAAGAACAGATATTATGAGGATGGTGGCTCCATCACCAGCTGAACTTCCAACTGAACGAAGGGGTGGTTGTTCAGGTGAACAGACCACAGCAGCAAGGCAAGCACTGAGTGCACTTAATTCCATATTGCACACACATAGAGAAACAGCTTTCACGAGATTGGCTAACGTTTCTGCCGCACTGGAATCAGAAGGTAAACCACCAAACAGAAACCTCAGGTGTCGGAAAATAGCCATGCAGACCACTCGTGCAAGATCACTTCCAGATTTGAGAAGTCGAAGATAGCGCGATAGGAGCTTGCGACCCTTGGCAAGAGAGACAATACGAAGGAAAACAATGTCATCTTTTGGGCCAAGCCCAACTGAATGACCAGCCTTACTGGGGGCAAGTGGATCAACAAGATTAAGTGATGCCGCAAGCCCTTCCAAGAAAATCTGTCTTCTCCTCCTCAGCTGCAATCCACCATCTTGTGGCGGGTTGAACTGCAAAAGCCGATCAATATCATCTACACTGAGAAGAAGGCAGATAGCATCTTCAATGGTGATTCTAGCTGCCAACATCGGCTCGCACTCAAGTGGCTTCATGGAAGACATCTGTTCATGGATGCCATCACCCAATGAGGATGATATATCAACTTCAACAAGAGGGCGAGGTCTACGAATCGAAGAGAGTATAACTCTACCCAGTGCATCAATCTGAACATGTGTGTGTGATATATTACCACCACGTGACCGAGAAGGCGGATCTTTTGTACCTGTTGGGCAGAAATTGTGCTTCAGCCTTGCAGATGATTTTTTTGCAAGACAAGCCTGGTGATAATAGTCATCAATGTAAGGATCACTTGTGTGACTTGAGGCGTTCTGCATTCTCAAGATGTTTTCTATCTCTTCAGGTGACATGTACCTTGATCTAATCTGTGGCCATTTATTGTCAGTTCTCACGTTGCCAGTATCAGATGACTGGCGAGAAAATCTCATATTCTGTTTTCCTCTTTGTGATGCTTTGGATCTATGGTCTCTCATATCAGACATGGGAAAAGCCAGATCAAACTTGTTCCTTAACTGTGGAGGGGAACCATGGGGGTTGAATTTAGTCTGCAAGTGGGAGAAATGGGGAAGAGATGGCTGGACCTGTTGCATTCTCTGTAGTTGGTGCTGCGATAATATTTGTGAAGTTCTCAAGTTGCTTGGTAGAGATAATTGTTGCTGTAGCAAGTTAGGCAACAAACTGTCACTCGATAATAGGCTAGATTGGTTCAGTAAATTGTTCATTGACCGGCTACTTATTGCAGGGCCAGGAGGAATAATCTGGGATATGTCTGCACCATAGTGCAATCCATGAGTTAACCCTCCCAATTGTTGCTGAGAATCAGAATAAGGGGTGAGACTTGGGCCAGGCAGTTGGAGCCCAGCAGCAAGAGAAGGAATGCTCAAGTGCCGTGTTAGGTTCGTCAACGGCAGAGATCCTCCACTGGATAGAGAGTAGGAAGTGAAAAACGGATCAGGTATGAGAATTGGTTCTTGGGTATATTGCTGCCGCTGTCGCTGCTGCTGCTGCTGCTGCTGTTGTTGTTGCTGCTGCTGCTGAGGGTATGAAGATGTTCTGTACAGTGGTTTGGATTCTGAAAGCTGACTATAAGAGGGACGCGGCTGTGACCACCATCTTTTACCTTCCTGAATGTTTTCAGCATCTAATATTCGCTGATCAATCCAGTTTGAGTAGTCTCCCTCCAGTGTCCAGTCAGCAGTTGAAGAACCTGAAACAAAAAGGAGACTAGTACCTGATCACATCATGTGCCAGAAAGAAACACAGAACAAAAACATTTTTTCCTAACCAAAGAAGAAAGAGCTAATAAATCTAGTTATAGATATTCATGAGCACCCCGAGACATGTGACAAAAGAATACACAAGGAAACACCACGGAAACTCAAGAAATTGCAAAACAGGAAAAGTTCAAAAAAAACATGACACTAAAGATGCTTTAAATATCAGCTATCCAAATACAAAAAAACCTTATGATGATTGAAACATGGAAAACAATGATCTTTATTTAATTTTACCAGTAAAAAGAAAAATGTCCAACTTTTCTCATATAATACCTTTTTGCCAACGATGGTTGTAGTTACTGTAGAATCTAGAATTGGTGGACTTTGTATTCTTGCTAAGTAACGTGACCCTAGCCAAGTCTGATTTAGGATCATATGTGGAGTTTCAAATCTCGTCGGTTGGTATCTGATCGCAGCAGGATTGTATATCGAATAGGTTAGGCTAAGTAATTCAACCCTAGCCAAGTCTGATTTGGGATCCGATGCGAAGTTTCAGATAGAGATTCTCTTCTAACCAGGATTTATCAGAAAGAATAGACATATAACACATTTTAGCAAGTCTTTAGAACAAATGTACATATATTAAAGCCATATAACCAAAGAAATCCTCAATCAGTAAGAATGTATGTTCAGAAAAGGATAGCCATGAAAAAGACATTTGCATGACATCCATAGCAATTGATTTTTTAAAAATCACTATTCACTTGTAAAAAGAAATTGACTATCATCATTCTTACTGATAAAAGGATATATGCTTATATACCAATACAAGCCATTATAAAATTCAGAACAGCTTCAAAATTCATCCATGGTTATGTTAATGGAAGATATCCAAAACCCATGCTGAATAGAATAAAGATGGTAAAACAAAATTACTCACTTTCTCTAGAAAAAGATCCTCTATCACCAATAACTCCTGCACCTTTTGGGTCATTTACAACTCTGTTCAACTGAAGATAAATACAGAATTCTTAGTCGACAAGTGAACAAATAATAATAATCATTACTAAATTAATAAAAAGATTTATCATGACTCAATGACTAGTATCCAGTACACAGATGCAAAATAACAGGCAAACTAATGGCTGTTCTGGAAAAGTTTAAGTTGAACATCATTGAAATGAGGCATTTTAGACAAAATTTGAATGACATGCACTTCCATTCATTTGCTCTGAAGTCACAAATCTACTAGCTCCTAGAAGAACATGGTGCAACCAAGTTTAGTCCTTTGATAAACTCAAACTGCAGAACACTCCAGCAGGCTGAATGGCCAAAACAACCAGCACTTTAAACCCAAAGTTGTATAAGCTTTTATTAACAAAAAGGAAAGTAATAAAGGTCGCATGCACCTCCAACTATGAAAAATAAGCTGTCCAAATTATTTGTACCTGTTCATACTTGAATTTACTCGAGAGAACAGATGTACCATGAAAAAAAACAACAAAATAAATCATATTCAGGAAATAACAGAAATTTGTTTATAAGCCATAACAATAGAAAATTTGAATATTTAGATAAACATAAAAGCATGAAAGAAATAGCCAAATATCAAATATATTGTGCACAACTGCTTTACATATATTGTGCACAACTGTTTTCCCTAACTACTAATGGACATATATCAATTGATTATAAACACAAGTGCTGAAAGAATGAATCCTACAGATCTGAACTCCACAGTTAGATTTTAGAGGCATTAGTCCAAAGTTATCATGATGATGGAGACCATTACGCATAACAGTCTGCATCATTTAGCAAAAATGAATGGATGTTTCTTAAGTATAATTTAAGGTATGAGATAAATGGCCAGGCAAGCCGTGCACTTCCAAAAGTTTCTAATGTGCTTAAACTTAAGTTTTAGAAAAACTACATCTACAAGACACTTAAACATTGGCCTGGTAATATAACTCTCAAAGAATCCCCACAATTCCTAGTAGACCCGAGCTCCAATCCCACAAAAAGAATCCCCACGATTCCTGACTCACAACTAACTCTATGTAGATTTACACTTCTATTTTTCCGTCCATATTGATTTCAATCTTAATTTGTTTTCCTTTACGGACAAATCTTATCAAATAGACTATAGCATAAATAACACGTGATTACGGGACTGTGCGATGAGGCTTCTGGACATAAACAAGCTTTGGGCTACAAAGTACAAACAAGTATAAACTTTGACACTATATTAAACTACCGTGTTGAATATAACAAGTTATTTGCATCAGCTCATGCTTATTTCCTAATACTAGCAATTAAATTATTTTAGTTAAAAGCTACAAAACGATATTAGCTTTACTTATTTACAATTATCTCTTTTCCCTTCTTTTACATTTCATTAGTTTTAATAAACTCAATGATAGTACGGCAAACATATAACTCAAATTTCTATTGATCATTCGTGCTTTATGCAAATGAAAACAACTATCAGAAAATAGTAGATTATACAAAGGTAAATATCGACCTTTGCAAAAGTGCTCGTGAGGTCATCAATATCAGACAGAGAACCTAATCCTTCAGCCTGCAAATGAAACGAGATACTGACAGGATGAGAATTGTAACCAAGAGAATTTGTATAATATGTCAAAGTAGGTAATATCAGTGCAAGCAATATGATTTCAAAAAAAAGGCACCATGAAGACAAAGCCAACAGAAACTACAGTGACAAGAACTTGCAGTATCATTTACTCAGCAGACGTAGACAATTGAGTCACCAAAGTGCCAAAACATAAGATGATCTTCAGTTATATTTGTTCCATGTCACAAACAGTGAAGCATTTCTGTGCAACCCAAAAGTGTCTTTTCCAAGTTTGTTAAAGACAAACAATTAAGTCATCAAAGTGCCAATACATAAGATGATCATCAGTTATATTTGTTCAATTTTAAAAACAGTGAAGCAAGTCTTTGCGACCCCAAAGTGTCTTTTCCAAGTTTGTAAAAGACTTAATAACCATGCACGAATATAGCCCAACTCCAAAGATTCACAAGTTGTACATTCCAAGACACACAACAAGCTTATAGTTGTCCATGAAAAAAAAAACTTGACATCCATCCGTAATTACCAAGTACAGATTCACAATCTTCGGAAGAAGAACCTGATCACTAAAAGAAACAATATATTCTGTGCCAACATTACATGTATCTTCAAACAACATATAAATGACATCAAGCAAACGTACCTCATAAACGTCTTGTATTCCAGAAGGAAAAAAATCCTCTCTGTCTCCAGGAGGAGAGAAATGATACTCGTCCTTAATCCCACTAAAACCATCATGATCATTGTCATTGTCTTTTAAACCCCCTAACTCAACTTCGTCCATGACCGCCATGCCAAAGAATGCATATTGTGAGGCATCAAACACGGTATTATCTACAATAAGCAAAATTGCCAACCAGCCAGGTCAAATAACAAATAAAGGAATGCAATCTGATTAGTTTATGCTCGTTCACATCGCAACAAGTTACAGATAATTAAAAGTAAAAAAAAAAAGAGGAAGCACACTACAACAAAGCCAGATGAGCAAGCAATGGGCGAATTTAGGTGGAATCGAACCACAACTCATGATCAAACTGAATATACAAAAGAAACAACTCCATACTTCTGCTTGGGATTTGCACCAAGCACAGAAGCTGCAAAAGAGCTGTAGCAAATATCGGCATCTATATTCACACAACCACGATACAAATCCAAGACACGTTATTCCTATCATGATTAAAGAGCAGTAACGATGTCGAGGCTTCACACGACACAGAAATACGGCGAAAGTGCATGGTCAAGCTCATCTAAATTGGGAGAAGCGATCTATCACTTCCAAAACCAGAGAAATAAATTACTAGCACCCACCAAATAGGCAAAAATCTATGGAAATGTAAAGAAAAAAAAAAAACTAAATTCCACGCGGCCTTGTAGGAATACTTGTGCACGATCAAATCAAATGCACGATCCGAACAGCCGAATTCGTCAACACGACGATCGGCCCCGATAACATCAAGAACCAAAAACCGAGAGCAAGCAACATTCACCTGCGAAGGCATCGCGGAGTTCCCTGGGATCGTCAGGGGGGCGGTTAGGGTTCCCGGCGGGAGCCCCTCCTTCCCCCTCGAATCCCCCCGTCATCTCGGCCAGCCACTAAACCCTAACTCCCGAGGAGCCGGAACCGGGGAGGATCGAGCGTCAACCCTGAGAGAATAGCCCCTTTGCATCGAATTCTCGGGTTAGGGTTTCCTCCCGAGCCGAGATCTGAGATCGAAGCCGAGAAGTAGAGACGAAGAGCAAGACAGATGAGACCAGAGGAGGAGCGCGATTCGATCTATTTATATTATGGGAGGAGAAGCAGCAACAACAGATGAGCAAAAAGGATCAAAATGGAACAAATGTGGAACCAACAAAAGCATCAAAGAAAAGAGAGAGAGAGAGAGAGAGAGAGAGAGTGGCTTCTCCACTAAGCTTTGTCTCTCTCCCTCCCTCTCTCTCTCTCTCTCTTGCTTTTTGTTTGGTGTTCTCTTTTTCTCTCCATATATGAGCATAAAAAATTGGGGGGAGGGGAATGTGACATTAATTTAAGATGGCCAACTCACTTGCTTTTTCTACAAGTTAGTGTTGATATCAATGGGAGATTTGGGGGAAGATTGACTTAATTGGGATAAGCTAATTATCTTTTTTTATGCAAAGATACAAAGAATAAAAAGAATAAGAATTTAATGTAACTCGAGACACAAACACCAACTTATTCTTTGGTCATCAATTTGAGACTTGGAAGAGAGAGAGAGAGAGAGAGAGAGAGCTTTTGGTGGTGGAGAATATAGAAAGCAATCAATCGATGCTTGTTTTGTCATTAGAACTCATTGTGGGAAGCAAAAGTAGTGGAAGTGCCTTTGAACTATCTAAATGATTTGTTTGAGATCTTATCTCAATATGATTGATACATTTCAGATGAGGAAAGGATACTTTTGGATTTATGAGATTCACATAAACTAATTTATTGCTCCATAAAGAAGACATGCAGTAATTCAAGCACTACTCTATTAGGAATTACCCATGCATGCATTTGGGGATACTAAAATACATAACTAAGCCTCCTTACATTCCAAATCACAAAGAGATTATTTATCTTTGTTATGTTTCATTGTTGTCATTACGTCTCATCTTAATTTAAATTATTAAATAATATGATAATTAGTATGAATGTAATGTCCAAAAAGACTTCATCTAATCAATCTATTACCGAACATAGTATCATTTTTGTATAAGCATTTTATACATACTTATATGAGAATGAAAGAAAGAGTGTGAGACATGTGTGGAATTCCCTGCAATAAATTACCGAATTCGTGAATCACGAGCTAACACTAATATTCAAGCATCGTCGATCACGTCAACGAGGACAAATGAGATGAATCGCTTGATGGACGGTTACTTACCGTGAGAAAAATCACGTGTTTGCATGCATTGAGGCATTTTTAATAGTGGTAAGATCACTGCCACACGCAATGATCGATTGCATCTCCTATCACGCAATTGTGTGTGTATATATATATATATATATATATATATATATATATATGTATATACACACAATTATAAATCAAATATGAATCAAACTACTCATCGATAAGATGGTTTGAAGATGTTTTTGGGTTATGGACAAACGTACTATATATATATTTATTTATACATGTGAATATTTTATTGGAATTGGAGTATAAATAAACGAATCAATTGGGATTTGGTGGAGTCGTTTGGGGGTGAGAGTCTGACAAGCGCCGACCGAGGCCGATGCAGAGGACGTACGTCGACGTAACTCGTGAGTCATTTCCTGACAGGTCAATATATTACTGCATGTAAAAGTAGAAGGTTCGACGCGACACGTTACTCCCATCACCATTGCCATGCCTCCTTCCGTCACATGCTCGTCCCGTCCGAAACGTGGATTCCGCCTTTTCTTCCTGTCTCCCTCCGACCCATCATAAGTGCCTCCTCCTCCTCCTCCTCCATCGCCTCTTCTATGTACTGCAACGTTACGTTCTAGATATATAACAACAGTCTGATGTGATTCCAGCTCTCCACCCATCATATACTACACACACGCATAGAGCCGCTGGCTGTGCGCCAGAGAGAAGAGAGGGATGGCGGCAGCGGGCAGCGGCGACGGGCGGCCGAGCCGGTACGAGTCGCAGAAGCGGCGGGACTGGAACACCTTCTTGCAGTACCTCAAGGACCACCGGCCGCCGCTGGTGCTGTCGCGGTGCAGCGGCGCGCACGTGCTGGAGTTCCTGCGCCATCTCGACCAGTTCGGGAAGACCAAGGTCCACGCCACCGGCTGCCCCTTCTTCGGCCTGCCCAGCCCGCCGGCGCCATGTCCCTGCCCGCTCCGCCAGGCATGGGGCAGCCTCGACGCCCTCGTCGGCCGCCTCCGGGCCGCCTTCGAGGAGAACGGAGGCCACCCGGAGGCCAACCCCTTCGGCGCCCGGGCCGTCCGGCTGTACCTGAGGGAGGTCAGGGACTCGCAGGCCAAGGCGAGAGGCATCGCCTACGAGAAGAGGAAGAAGAAGCGGAAGCGGTCGCCGCTTCAGCCCCCTGTCGCGGTGGCGGAGGCGCCGCGCTGCGATCTAAACTCACTGGATTACGATAACATGGACGTCATCCAGTATCTCGTAACCGGCACTAACATGGAGACGATGAGCGGTGAAGCCGATACCGGGGTCGTCATGGCAGTCATGGGAACACTCGACGCCGCTTTCTTGCCATTGCCAGTGTTTCATTAGTCCTCTCAGCCCTTCCGCTTACAGCATACATCTTTATGACTAGTATGTACTTGTACGTGACTCACGGCCACTCTTAAGCTTCTTTGTGAATGAACTAAATAGCTTCTTTTGAAGTCCTTAATTCTTGTACATCAATCAAGCGGTCTCTTCTCCTTGTCTTGATCTTTTCATATAAGTTAGTGACAGGAGAAACGGGAAGTCAATTTGTGATTCGTGGACGTGATTATGATGGTGATGATCAAGCTTGTGATGTATGAAATAGTAGCCAAGTCGCATCGGTAGGGGAAGGAGAAGTGATAGATCTGTCGTGAGATCAGCGGATCTGGCGCCCTTCATGCCTGCGAATCCGTGCTCCCCATTAAACTAGCCGCCTGATGCGACGTCGATGGGATGCGTCACTGCGTCACCGCCACGTATTCATCGACCGAAACACAAAACATGAAAACGACGCCCTATATTGGTTACTTTACGCGGGCCCCGACGGTCGAACCCGGCATAACCTTTCCGGGGGCAAAAGAGACACCGCCCTCAATCCGTACGACGTGGCGCGGTAAGGACCGTCGATCGCGGTCGACGCGACACGATGCCTTGCGACAGGTGGCCTACACAGGACGCTGCGCACGTGGGGAGGGACGGCGTGGCCATCAGATGTCACATTCAAACTCTCTCTCTCTCTCTCTCTCTCTCTCTCTCACTCGTGGAGACCATATTTTGTGGTAGCTCGCTCGTGTAGGCCATTTTGATGGCAACTCTCATTAGCTTTGGATCTCGTGCCAAAAATTCCCACCATTTTCTATTTTATGTTTTGTGCTTAAAACCCTACATGCAAGCGTTGTCCTACTTGTTAGGTTACGGGCTAGAAGCAGATTTCCAGGAGGAGAATAGGTAGCGAATTGACCATTCAATTATGTTGATTATACATGATGAGGAAATGACTCTTATTATGATATTTTGATTCGATTTAAAAAATATAAAACAGTTATTAGGGTAACAATATTTTATAAATCTATTAGAGAATTTACGAGTATGCATTATTTATGTAAAAAGAATAGTGAAGCAGATTTGTGGAGTTATGATGGAGTATAGAAAGGGAAATGCAATCACTCATGAAGAATTAGGTACAATCATGATAGAAAATAAGTGAGAATAATTTAAGAATATGAGATATAAAGATGAGGTAATTAGAAGGAATGAAGAACAACCTAAGAAAATTATATTAGAAACTATAAATAATAAATTAAATATTCTTAATTTAACAAAGAAAACTAGCAACCCGTATAATTAGACATTAGAGTTCCCAAAAATAAAAAAAAATAAAAAAACTGTACGCAAAAAGCTACCCGTAACATTAAAATCAAAAGCAACAAAACGTGTACCTTCTGTAGCCATTGTGGAGAACTCGAGCTGGGACAGCTTTAATGCCTGGTTGCTATCAGACATCTTTTCTGCCTGCGAAGGAAAATAACCTATTAGGAGACACAAGAAAAATGTGGAAGTTACTAACTATTTCACTCTCGCTCTTGCTAATACTTTTTTGTTTGTTAAGAGCAAGTCCTGTTTTTGGCGTTAGAGAACTGCAAGATGTGCTAACGATAGAGCTGATACTTATTCCTGCTTACTGCAGGCTCTGGCTAACAAAACTTTTCTGTAACTTGGCACTGAGACTTGAGCGAACAAGGAAGCTTGGCATGTCTTCATGAAAATGGATAACCGGGTATGGGTCACATTTCATTATACTGAATCAAAACCTTTGAATTACCTTCCCTTAAAGAGTCGAGCCGAAGAGACTTATTCAATGGTCACTGCTAACCGCTTTTATCTCGCAGCTCGAAGTCAAGCAGTAGAAAGCAGGGTGCCAAAATGATTTGATTCAATGTGCTTCAACAGATATGCAGACTCTTCTACATATGAAGTGGCTGTCTCTTCTCAAAAGGTATACGCAGCATGTCCAAAATGAAACATGAAAATTATTAGTTCAACACCCACTGTGATATGGAAAGAAGAGTTGAATTGGAGCAGATGTTTCTAACCATAGCATAAGACTTCGACTCCAATCCGGGGGTTTCATATCGTCAACATTGTTGGGAATATTCCTTGTCTGCAAATAGATAACAGTACCACTAAATAAGTGCAGGAAATGATGATAAAATTAAGTGTGGAAGAGTTTTATCAGCAGGAATCCACTTGTGCTGATGGTTATCCTCTCAAAAGAATTTACAAAGTGTGCTGGTTGTAACAAGAGTGAACGTCTCCATTTAAAGGCCTGAAAAGAGTTTCTCCATGGCACTGACATGGAAGTCAAAATGATGTCCAGTTGAGCTACTTAATCAAGGCGTATCAGATGCTAGGATTTCAGCTGTGATTATAACATTTTCAACGAAAATAAGAAAAAACCAGGCCTCAGGTCTCCTTTTATCTGGTTTTTCTCTGCTGACTTAAATTAATTTATAACTTATTATCTCTGTTATCGTTCTATCTTCTAAACCTTTTTGCTATTTACTTTTGAAGGAGCAGGCCCTAATGTTTCCAGGCTGAAATCAATTTGAACAACCCTACCTTTGCTAAAATTTGGACCCTAAAATGTCTAAGGTATTCTCCTTTAAACTAGGGGTACATGAGAAAAGTTTGCATCGTCAACTGTTTTATTTCGGACATCCATTGGTCTCTACAAGATGAGAAGGTTGCTATGTGATTGATCATATTGCTTCAACTTTGTTTTTGACCATGCCCATGTCAAAGAGCATGATGAAACATGTGAGGTTTTGTTTAAGAAGTAAACCAATGTTTAGTAAAAGCCAACCATAGTATATATAGCATGCCAAGAAATTTAAGGTTCTCTGTTGTGCATCGATCAAAGGTTTATTGGCCTAGGTTCCAATGACAGAAGCCAGAAATCAAAAGACAGAAGACACAATATAGATGAGGTACACCAATGAATATCAAAACAATAGAAAGTAGAAACATCAAAAACCACCATTTGACTATAAAGCACCATTTTAGGAATCTTATTTCTCTATTTTTTAAGGTATAAAACATGAAGGAATTTGTTTATCATTATTCTCTGACACTAGAGAGAAGTCTTACATAAAGTAACAAAAGTTAAAATTGAATTGCAAACCTCAAACAGCTAGTGTAACTTGTATATGCACGCAGTCGTTAAAAAGCTTACCTTTCTGGTTGGATTTGGATCGTGTTACTTTGCCAGTTTCTCTGGAGAAGGTAAAACCGTGCTTACTAGTGCACAGAAGAAGGTAAAACAGTGCAAACTACTGATCAGAAGCATCAGGAGAAACAACGGTGGCCTGCGATGCACACAAAAATATCATGTCACAAACAAAAGATAGCAAAGAAAGCTGGATTCTGAGGATGAACAATTAACAAATATGAACTGAATAATAGACCACTGAGAGAACATGACTGCATATTTCCACATGTCAAATGCTAGGCTGTATTTAAGGCCTAACTGGTTGGGATCAGCAATAAACCATTCTTTGAAAATCAGCAAATATAAAATGTTGGATAAAGAAATGCAAATATTGCATGAAACTTCAATGAAGTCACTGATTAGAGGATTCAATTGAAGGCATTAGATTTCTTGGACCAGCAGATGGATGGAGAGATTCGAAATGTGATTATTTTCTTTCAAGATTTTATCGTGAAAAGTTGGATTAAATATGCATGAGTATAGAGTCTGAGTATCACGAGGAGGCGGAGCCCAAATACAGGTATTTGAGAACAGAAAGAATCAATAATATGGTGTTCATCTGAAGGAACAGAAGTACCCATGTAGAAGTTCTTACTTTTCCTGATGCCCAAAGGCCAGACGTTTAAAATTATAGATCACTTACCGCACGAGATGCCTTTATTGTCTGTTCATCATCAACATGGTGCCACAAAAATAAAAGAAAAAATTGGCCAAGCTCTTATCTATTATAACTAGGTCTTTCAAACTTGGATATGATAGTTTAATGATTCATAATCCATTCTAAAAACTCAAAAGTTAGATTCGAAGGAAAGTTTAACAGCAATCACATCTTTAACTAATAAGTTAACATGAATACTCGAAACTAAAGGACCCTAACGAATATCAAATATCAAGGCATAGTGCATTTGGGTGCTAAATATCATGATGGATGCCTTTCATTAAGAAGTGAAAGGAAAAGATCTCAGAGGTTGCGTCTCACCATGTGAAAAGAAAAAGACAGTCTTATATGCATAGTTTTTAACAGAAAACAGGTTCGTCATCAGTATCTAATATTTATCATGATTTTTTAACTAAATATGGATTACAAGAAATGCAATATGTGCATGATTAAAATTATTCAAAGAGCTAAGTTGGTGAAGCATACTCAAGCTTGAACTAAATGAATAATTTGTAAAATAAGGTGGCCCAAATGTTGAACCTGAACTTCAACAGTGTTTGGGTCATTGAAGTTTGTTGACATTCAGGAAATACCAATTGCTAAGTTAGCTTATTGTGAATTATAATTTGAAAAGAGAAAGGCTGTCTGCCATGCATTAAGTACCTGCTCTGAAGCATCCATTTGTAGTGGGAAAATTATGTCTGGCTTGGGGACATAGCCTTCCTCTCTAAGCACTAGGAGGAGACTCTTCAATATGAAGTAGATGCATTCAGAATTGGGGTGAGATTTGTCAGCAGCCACAAACATGTGAGTGATATTGTTGACCACTATCCAGCTGTAACCTGGCACTTTCTGTACCCTTCTCTCCTTCATCAAACTTCGTGCTTTCAGTACTCCCTTCCACCTACCAGCCACAGCATGGATGTTCGATAGAAGCACATAGTAACCAGAATTCTCAGGATCCAGATCAAATAGTTGTTTTGAAGCAAGCTCAGCAATCTCAACATTTCCATGGATCCTACAAGCTCCAAGCACTGTGCCCCATATGCCAGCATCTGGTTTAAATGGCATGCTCTTTATGAGTTTCAGTGCTTTATTTAACTGCCCAGAACGTCCATATAGATCAACCATACAAGCATAATGCTCCATGCGAGCTGCAATTCCATATTGCTCATGCATAGAGTGAAAGAGCTGAAATCCTTCGTCAACTTGACCAGCATGACCACATGCAGATATCAAGGCAAGAAAGGTTATGTGATCGGGCACAAAACCTGCTTCCTGCATCTGCCGAAATAAATCCATGGCATCTTTAATGAGACCATGTGCACCATAGGCAGCAATTACACTATTCCATGATACTTCATTCTTCTCTGTCATTGAATCAAATACCCGACGAGCCAAATCTAAATTTCCACACTTGGCATACATATCTATCAGGGCACTCTCAGCAAATAAGTCTGATCTGATATCACGTTTCATCATGAAACCATGGATCGCTTTACCATAATGTAATGCAGGTAGATTTGCACATGCTGATAAGGCAGAAGATATGGTGACACAATCATATTTCATTCCCTCCATTCCCATTTGATGCAAAAGACTCATAGCTTCTTCTGGTTGCCCATTTTGTGCAAAGCTTGCAATCATTGAGTTCCATGCCACTGCATCCCTAATGGGCATCCGAGTGAAAATTTGATGCCCAAGATCAAGCCTGCCACATTTGGTGTACATGTCAATTAGTGCACTTGCCACATAGCACATTCCCTCGTATGCATTTTTCAGAATGTAACCATGTAGCTCCTTCCCCAAACTTAGAGCAGCCAAGCAAGAGCAAGCTGGCAAAACACTAGCTAGTGTGATCGGATTAGGCTTCAATTGTGCTTTTAGTAATTGGTGGAACATGTCTAATGCGTCACCACTCATCCCATTAAGCACATAACCAGATATCATTGCGCTGCAGATAACTACATCCATAGTTCCAGTTGCACCAAAAACCTTCTTTGCCATGAGCGCGTCTTTGCATTTGAAGTATATATCAATCAGTGCACTCTTCAAGAAGGCATCCATAGAGACGTTGTTCCGTATTATATAAGCATGAATCTCTTTCCCCTGTTTCAGACTTGCTGAACCAGAAAAGGCAGGCAAAAAACTTGCCAATGTGATAGAATCTGGCTTGAACCCAGCAACTTGCATCTGGTAGAATAGTTCCAAAGCCTCGCCCACCAGTCCACTCTGAACATACCCAGAAATCATTCCATTCCAAGTGACCAAATCAGTTTGGGGCATCAAACCAAACAACTTCTGCACATCAACCAAGCAGCGACATTTAGAGTACAATGCTAACAATGTGTTAGCCACTGAAGCCTCCAGATCGAAACCAAACTTAATTGCAAGCCCATGAAGCTGCATACCATAATCCAGCATCCCCTCCGAGGCACAAACAGACAAGACGCAAGCAAAGGAAACATAATTGGGTTTAGCATCCGTCATTCTCATGCTGTTGAATAGCAAGATAGCATTTCTTGAATCATGATTCCTCACATACCCATCGATCATAACATTCCACAAAACACAATCTCTATCGGGCATTTGATCAAACACCTCTCTTGCCTCCTCGATATCATCATTCTCAGCATACATCTTGATCAATGAGCTACCAGTAAACACATCAGTTTCCAAACCCATCAAACGAATAGTACCATGAATCAACCTACCCAGCCCAACAGCAGACAAACAGCCAGCAGACTTGATGGCATAAGTGAAGGTATATTTATCCGGATAGGCACCGCGGAACCACATCTTGAAATAGAACAACAGCGCTAGTTCATAGCAACCCATCATGGTAAACCCTCTAATCATCCAATTCCAAGGCAATCGAGAACCCTTCTCGAGCGAAAAGAACACATCTTTGGCGTCCATAAAGCTTCGGCAAAGAACATACATGCCCAAGATTCTACCACCCAACAAGCTATCACGGACGCCGCGGACGACAATTTGGGCGTGAACTTGGCGGCCTTTCCGGAGATCCAGGGGATCATGGCAAGTGCCAAGGATCGCGACGCAACGACCGACAAGATCCTCATCGATGTGAGACGGAGATGGAGAAGAGGACACGCCTTCCCTTTGAGCTACGTCGCCGACGTCGATGGAGTCTACGGCTAATCTTGAGATGGGATTGCAGAATGCGGATGGAAGCTTGGAGCCAAACGCGGAGATCAAAGAAGAAAGCTGGCAGCTCGGACACAAAATTCTCATTGTTGCGATGGCGCCGAGAAAGGAAGGGTAAATAGGCGCAAAAGAGGGCCAAATACTTACCGGGTTATCGGGTTATAGATTTACCAACATCTCTGACCCGTCTCTGGCGGACGCGGTCGCGTGCGATGTGTACTTATGATTCAAGTGGTCGGCACAGTGTCTTTATGATTCTTGTTGAGCTTCGTGATTTGTGCTGGTCTGGTTGTCGTCTTCATCAAAAAGGTAGCTCGTGCCCGCTTCGTTGCGGCAATCGCTCTGCCTTGTCTCTCGCTATCTCTATATCTATCGGGTTATCGGGTTGTCTATATCCCAACATCTCTGACCCATCCGTAAGATGGATGCGATCGCGCGTGCTGTGTACTTTCATTCGGGTTATCGTTCACTGTCTTTAAGATTCGCGTTGAGCTCCATGATTTAAGCCGATTTGTTTGTCGTCTTCGTTACGGGAATCCTTCCGCCTTCTCTCTCTCTCTCTCTATTTATATATATATATATATATATATATGTATATATATATCGGGTTATCGGGTTTTCGATTTGCCCCATCTCTAACCCATCTGAAGATGGATGTGGTCGTCTGTGCAGTCTACTTACAATGTCTTTAAGATTGCTGTTGAGCTCCGTGATTTGAGCTGATCGAGTTGTCTTCTTCGTCGACGAGGCAGCTTGTGCCCGCTTCGTTACGGCAATCGCTCCGCCCTCTCTGTCTCTCTCTCTCTCTCTCGTTACTTCCGCCTACCCGGAGCGCGTTTGGACCACGGGGGAGGGCCGCCCTCGGCGCCCCGATTCGACGCGTACACGACAGAGGGGACTTTCCCCACGCCACGCCGCGCCGCGCAAGCTTCGCCTGTTGCCGCCGTGCGAGGCGATCATGTCCGCGCGGAATCCGCGTCTCCCTTTCTTTCGGTAGCTTATCGTTGTCTACCACCAGCGAGAGGGTGACGACGAGACCGAGAGTGCCGCGCTCTCTCTCTCTCTCTCTCTCGCTGCCGCTTCGTGTTCCCGTAATATTGCACGTATCTTGGCGTGAATGGTAATCTCGTCAAATTGGCCCCCCTATGGTGTGGTGGAGGATCAGATAGTAGAGTGCCAGAGGGAACAAAATGCAAAAAATAGAACCTTTTTTCACGTGTAGGTCCCTAAAAAGAGACACAATTATTAGCGTTGTTAATAGTTAGTACATCAAATCCTAAGAGAAAAATAATAAACCTTCATTGTTTAATCAAAACGGTATGGTTGACTAACAAAGAATAAATTATAAACCCCGATATTTTAGTTAGAAATGTCCGACAAATGCTTGATATTAAATCATGACTTAGATTTATACATTAAATAAATAAAAAGTAAATGGAATGATGCGACTTTATCACGCACAGTATGTTTTTTATGGAAATAAAAATGATTTTTCGTTTACTATTGTTTATTATTATTTTTAGGCTCCTTGCATGTTGTGCTTTCAATTTTCGTCTTCTACATGTTGTGCTTTCAATTATCGTCTTCTATTTTTGAATGATCATACATGCTGTCTCTCTCTCTCTCTCTCTCTCTCTCTCTCTCTCTTGACTGCATCATATTTTTTTCGTCATTAATTAGATTATTTATTTCTTAACTCTCTCTGCTTTCCTTCATGTGCGATTACTCAAAATTTATTTAGCTTGTTGATTTGAATAAATATTTTATTTTCACATGAGATTTTAATTTTTATTTGAATATAAAAATCAGTGTAAACATATATTTCTTATGACAATATTGTATGATTAACACATTAGTTTTATTTTAATTATTTGATAATATTTTTATGTATTGCTCGTATCACGACGTGCTCGTATAGTATAGTGTGTTTAGTTATTTAAAAAATATTGCCTCATGTATAATTATTTTAATCATAGCTTGGTATACAAAGTAAAAGAAAAAAAACGAAGAGACGATTTTTTAAATATATTTATGTATAATCTAAAGTTATTTTATTTTATAATTCTCTTATCTAAATTTATGTTCTATCGTAAATTATAATAGTGATAAACATTCAGACCAATGAAGGGACAATTTTAAAGTCTATAAAAATCAAAAAAATATGATAATATGAGTTATACTCGATAATAGTTTTCATAAAAAAATAAAAAAAAAATATTTTATTTACATATGGTGATCATCATAAAATCATGAAAACAAGCATGACGAAGTTGATTTCATTAGATTTATTTTGCACCAGCGTTGAATAAAAGATGATATATTATATGATAGGTGATATGAAAATAATATGTAACTAGTAGAAAAGAGAGAGAAAAAAAAGTAAATGATTCGAGCACACGAATTATTCTTTGTTATATATGTTGATTTAATTATGTGAGATGCATGTAATTATGTGAGCTGACTCAGAAACTTGAAATTGGATTTAAACCAAATTATTTTGGGTCGTGACAATAAATATTTACTTTATCACCGCTCCTATACGGAGGATACATATGCAAATATAATATCTTCAAAGACTAATACGTAAATATTTACTTTATCATGTACTATTTAAAATATACGTACTATGTAAGGGGTGTTTATGCATAAAAGCCATGAGCGAGAAAAGAGTGATGTATCCAAGTCTTGCGGTGAGAAAAGGGCTAAACATGGCGTCGATCGCGTCGTGGGAGGAAGGTGGAGAGAAAGCGGTCGAAGAGTCAAAGCGAAGCTGGTGAGATCGAATCAGTGTGCTCCGCGAGGACCTAAAAGTTTCAATCTACTGACGACTTCGAGATCCAGGTAGGTTTCCTTCCCGCTCTCGACTGCTCCATCTTGGTGTTCTCGTGGTCGATGGATGCGGCGATTCCAGAAGTTATCTGGATCTCTGCTGTTTCTAGGGCTAAATTGGTGACGTAGAAGGTGAATTTGGAAGTATTAGGAAGTCGAGGGGTTCTTTTGAGTGGCACCTCTGTGTTTCTTTTCTGGAATTTCGTGAGCACATAGGTTTTCTATTGCCGCATGCTTTCCGTCGTGCGCAAATAGAGAGAGGAGAGTTCTTTGTTCTGTTGAAACATTGTAAATCTTGGTTTCTATCTGGTTGAGAAACACAGTGTCTGTGGTTTATGATTCAGTCTTCCGATCGGAAATAATGCATTTGCTTTTGGAAACGTTGTGGTGGTTGTGATCGAAGATGGATGCCGCTAGAAACTGGTTTCATAAATTGCAACCTAGAGGGGAGAAACTCAAGCCTGGAACGGCGAAGAAGGAAGCAGGAAGTGCCAAGGATATGCAGAAGCCTCCGGTTGATGAGGCACCTTCGAACATCACGAAGCAGAAGGTAGCTGCCGCAAAGCAATATATAGAGAACCATTACAAGGCCCAGATGAAGTCCTTGCAAGATCGAAAGGAGAGGTGATTCTTTCTAACATATATATATACATATATATATATATATATATATATATATATATATATATATATA